AATATAGGCCATCGGGGGCCAAAATTGTGTAACAGTCACGAGAAGGCCCGGGGAACAGCTCAGACACCTCGGGAGGGACCAATGTAAGTTGTGGAAACTTACGGAAGTAGCACGGGACTCCTGGTTCGAAAACTAAGTCAAAAATTGCACTTTTTTTACGCTTAAACATGAAAATAAGCCATCGGGTGCCAATGTCGTGTAACAGTCACGAGATGGCCGGGGGAACCCCTCAAACGCCTTAGAAGGGACCAATTTAAGTTGCGAAAACTTACAGAATTATCAAGGGATTCCGAGTTTGAAAACTAAGTCCAAAAAGACACATTTCTCACAAAAAAAAGTTTAGGAATAAATACATTTTATGGATCACTTTAGATCATTAAATTTTATGTTTTGGAATGAAGTGTGACATATTTCAAAGCACATGTTCCCAATCTCCAAACCGAAATCTCTAGAATAGTAATATATTATAATCTAATAACACAAGGAATATAAAATCTATTAGGGTGATGCTTGATGATAGCTCACTATTTTTATTATTAAAGGGGCCATAGGAGTTCCTTTCCTTCTTCTCTTCCAATAATGAACCTTCATCAATCCTCTGCTTATTGTTCTTCTTTCTGTAATGATTCTTTAGGTCATATTCTATTTGTCTCATCAACTAATGCATCACTGTATAGTTTGTTTACACAAAACACATTTCAAAACTAGATTTCTAGCTGTACTCTTATGGTTTCGAATATTGCATATTTCATATTTGTTCATAAACTGTTTCCTTCCTTCAAGGACTTGTCTTACTACCGAGGAGTGCCTCTTTAATAAAAACAGGAACCCTCATTTGACTAAAGAGCTAGTTGAGGATGAACTTAAAGCATATCTTGGAGTCAAGAAGATTATTTGGTTGCCTCATGGATTATTTGGTACCCATTCACCTTGAATATTAAGCACATATGTATAAATATTTTGCACTAAAATTTGAGATGCCTTTCCTGTATATTTCATCCATATTTTTTGGTCCACCTGGCAATCTAGATATTTCTTTAATTTGGTTGGTCTATGTGGCTATTTTTCTCATCAGGATGATGATGAAGCATTCTCATGCTTAAAAATGATGCGTTGGTGTGCAATTATGCATACGAACACGAAATTAATGTTGTATAGAGAGTTTCTGCTGAAACTGTAGTTCTAGGATTTGAACTTCAAATAAGAGTTTAACTCTGCAATTTTTGCATTTTTTGGGTAGGTGTTGTGATGATCAGTAACTTGAATTGCAACCTAGTCCTTTCGAGCAATGGGCTCATGCCAAGTGCTTGACTTTTTGCATATCGAGAAAGATATAAATCATAGGGCTTTATTTTTTTGAAAATTTCAAGCCCAGGCTGCTGCTTATGTTATATGGTATGAAAAGTTGTGTGTTCTGATGTTGATACCTAGAACTTAGAAGGGATACAAAATTCTGAAGTTAAATATGGACAAACCTGATATTTTCGTTTCCCTTGTAAGTTGTCTAAACTTACGGAACTAGCACGGGACTCCTAGTTTGAAAACTAAGTCCAAAAATGCACTTTTTTCACACTTAAGCTTGAATATAGGCCATCGGGGGCCAATATTGTGTAACAGTCACAAGAAGGCCCGGGGGAACAGCTCAGACACCTCGGGAGGGACCAATGTAAGTTGTGAAAACTTACGGAACTAGAACGGGACTTCCGCTTTGAATACTAAGTCGAAAAAGATATTTTTTTCACAATTAAGCTCGAAAATAGGCCATCGGTGGCCAAAATTGTGTAACAGTCATGAGAAGGACCGTGGAATACCTCAAACACCTTGGGAGGGACCAATGTAAGTTGTGGAAACTTCCGGAACAAGCACGGGACTCGCGGTTTGAAAACTAAGTAAAAAAATACACTTTTCTAGCACTTAAGCCTGAAAAGAGGCCATCGGGCACCAAAATCGTGTAACAGTCACGACAAGACCCTAGGAAAACCTCAAACTCCTCGGGCGGGACCAACGTGAGTTGCGAAAACTTAAGGTACTAGCACAGGACTTCCGATTTGAAAACTAAGTCGAAAGAGACACTTTTTTTCACACTTAAGCTTAAACTTTTTTCACACTTAAGTTTAAAAATAGTCCATCGGGTGCCAAAATCGTGTAACAGTCACGAGAAGGATCGGGAATGCCTCAAACACCGGTTTGAAAACTAACTGAAAAAATGCACTTTTTCACACTTAAGCTTGAAAATAGGCCTTCACGGACCAAAATCGTGTAACAGAGGAACGCCTCAAAACACCTCGGGAGGGACCAATGTAAGTTGTGGAAACTTACGGAAGTAGCACGGGACTCCTGGTTCGAAAACTAAGTCAAAAATTGCACTTTTTTTACATTTAAGCATAAAAATTAGCCATCGGGGTGCCAATGTCGTGTAACAGTCACGAGATGGCCAGGGGAACCCCTCAAACACCTTAGAAGGGACCAATTTAAGTTGCGAAAACTTACAGAATTATCAAGGGATTCCTAGTTTGAAAACTAAGTCCAAAAAGACACTTTTCTCACACTTAAGAATGAAAATAGGCCAAAATTGGCGGTCAAAATCGGGTAACTGTCTCGAGAAGGCCTGGGCAACACACATCAACCACCTCGGGAGGGTCGAATGTAAGTTGTCTAAACTTATGGAACTAGCACGGGACTCCTAGTTTGAAAACTAAGTCCAAAAATGCACTTTTTTCACACTTAAGCTTGAATATAGGCCATCGGGGGCCAAAATCGTGTAACAGTCACGAGAAGGCCCGGGGCTCAGACACCTCGGGAGGGACCAATGTAAGTTGTGAAAACTTACGGAACTAGAACGGGACTACCGCTTTGAATACGAAGTCGAAAAAGACATTTTTTTCACAATTAAGCTCGAAAATAGGCTATCGGTTGCCAAAATTGTGTAACAGTCACGAGAAGGACCGTGGAATACCTCAAACACCTTGGGAGGGAGCAATCTAAGTTGTGGAAACTTCCGGAACAAGCACGGGACTCGCGGTTTGAAAACTAAGTAAAAAAATACACTTTTCTAACACTTAAACCTTACGTTGTGCAAACTTTCAGAACTGGCACGGGACTGACGGTTTGAAAACTAACTGAAAAAATGCACTTTTTCACACTTAAGCTTGAAAATAGGCCTTCACGGACCAAAATCGTGTAACAGTCACGAGAAGGATCGGGAATGCCTGAAACACCGCAGGAGTGGCCAATGTACGTTGTGCAAACTTTCAGAACTGGCACGGGACTGACGGTTTGAAAACTAACTGAAAAAATGCACTTTTTCACACTTAAGCTTGAAAATAGGCCTTCACGGACCAAAATCGTGTAACAGTCACGAGAAGGATCGGGAATGCCTGAAACACCGCAGGAGTGGCCAATGTACGTTGTGCAAACTTTCAGAACTGGCACGGGACTCACGGTTTGAAAACTAACTGAAAAAATGCACTTTTTCACACTTAAGCTTGAAAATAGGCCTTCACGGACCAAAATCGTGTAACAGTCACGAGAAGGCCTGGGGAACGCCTCGAAACACCTCGGGAGGGACCAATGTAAGTTGTGGAAACTTACGGAAGTAGCACGGGACTCCTGGTTCGAAAACTAAGTCAAAAATTGCACTTTTTTTACACTTAAGCATGAAAATTAGCCATCGGGGTGCCAATGTCGTGTAACAGTCACGAGATGGCCGGGGGTACCCCTCAAACACCTTAGAAGGGACCAATTTAAGTTGCGAAAACTTACAGAATTATCAAGGGATTCCTAGTTTGAAAACTAAGTCCAAAAAGACACTTTTCTCACACTTAAGAATGAAAATAGGCTAAAATTGGGGGTCAAAATCGGGTAACTGTCTCGAGAAGTCCTGGGCAACACACATCAACCACCTCGGGAGGGTCCAATGTAAGTTGTCTAAACTTACGGAACTAGCACGGGACTCCTAGTTTGAAAACTAAGTTCAAAAATGCACTTTTTTCACACTTAAGCTTGAATATAGGCCATGGGGCCAAAATCGTGTAACAGTCACGAGAAGGCCCGGGGAACAGCTCAAACACCTCGGGAGGGACCAATGTAAGTTGTGAAAACTTACGGAACTAGAACGGGACTACCGCTTTGAATACTAAGTCGAAAAAGACATTTTTTTCACAATTAAGCTTGAAAATAGGCCATCGGTTGCCAAAACTGTGTAACAGTCACGAGAAGGATCGTGGAATACCACAAACACCTTGGGAGGGACCAATCTAAGTTGTGGAAACTTCCGGAACAAGCACGGGACTCGCAGTTTGAAAACTAAGTAAAAAAATACACTTTTTTAACACTTAAACCTGAAAAGAGGCCATCGGGCACCAAAATCGTGTAACAGTCACGAGAAGACCCTAGGAAAACCTCAAACACCTCGGGCGGGACCAACGTGAGTTGTGAAAACTTACGGTACTAGCACGGACTTCCGATTTGAAAACTAAGTCGAAAGAGACACTTTTTTTCACACTTAAGCTTAAAAATAGTCCATCGGGTGCCAAAATCGTGTAACAGTCACAAGAAGGATCGGGAATGCCTGAAACACCGCAGGAGTGGCCAATGTACGTTGTGCAAACTTTCAGAACTGGCACGGGACTCACGGTTTGAAAACTAACTGAAAAAATGCACTTTTTCACACTTAAGCTTGAAAATAGGCCTTCTCGGACCAAAATCGTGTAACAGTCACGAGAAGGCCTGGGGAACGCCTCAAAACACCTCGGGAGGGACCAATGTAAGTTGTGGAAACTTACGGAAGTAGCACGGGACTCCTGGTTCGAAAACTAAGTCAAAAATTGCACTTTTTTTACACTTAAGCATGAAAATTAGCCATCGGGGTGCCAATGTCGTGTAACAGTCACGAGATGGCCGGGAGAACCCCTCAAACACCTTAGAAGGGACCAATTTAAGTTGCGAAAACTTACAGAATTATCAAGGGATTCCTAGTTTGAAAACTAAGTCCAAAAGGACACTTTTCTCACACTTAAGAATGAAAATAGGCCAAAATTGAGGGTCAAATCAACCACCTCGGGAGGGTCCAATGTAAGTTGTCTAAACTTACGGAACTAGCACGAGACTCCTAGTTTGAAAACTAAGTCCAAAAATGCACTTTTTTCACACTTAAGCTTGAATATAGGCCATCGGGGGCCAAAATCGTGTAACAGTCACGAGAAGGCCCGGGGAACAACTCAGACACCTCGGGAGGGACCAATGTAAGTTGTGAAAACTTACGGAACTAGAACGGGACTACCGCTTTGAATACTAAGTCGAAAAAGACATTTTTTTCACAATTAAGCTCGAAAATAGGCCATCGGTTGCCAAAACTGTGTAACAGTCACGAGAAGGACCGTGGAATACCTCAAACACCTTGGGAGGGACCAATCTAAGTTGTGGAAACTTTCAGAACAAGCACGGGACTCGCGGTTTGAAAACTAAGTAAAAAAATACACTTTTCTAACACTTAAGCCTGAAAAGAGGCCATCGGGCACCAAAATTGTGTAACAGTCACGAGAAGACCCTAGGAAAACCTCAATCACCTCGGGCGGGACCAACGTGAGTTGTGAAAACTTACGGTACTAGCACAGGACTTCCGATTTGAAAACTAAGTCGAAAGAGACACTTTTTTTCACACTTAAGCTTAAAAATAGTCCATCGGGTGCCAAAATCGTGTAACAGTCACAAGAAGGATCGGGAATGCCTGAAACACCGCAGGAGTGGCCAATGTACGTTGTGCAAACTTTCAGAACTGGCATGGGACTCACAGTTTGAAAACTAACTGAAAAAATGCACTTTTTCACACTTTTTCACACTTAAGCTTGAAAATAGGCCTTCACGGACCAAAATCGTGTAACAGTCACGAGAAGGCCTGGGGAACGCCTCAAAACAC